AGAGAGAGAGAGAGAGAGAGAGGAAAGATCGAATTGCATGTAATTAAAAATATTCCAGAATTTTTTTCTATCCGAATAAGAGAAAGAAAAAATATCGATAAGAATCTTATTCTCTCATCATTCAAGTTAAGAAAAATATCGCTTCCTTCATTCGAATAAAATCTCGAAACGTTATATATTGGGCGACAATGCGTCACATTGTTGCAATAACATCAGTACCAAAAAAAAAAACACGCGATAAATGAAGCGTTTTCGAAACGCAGAATCACGAATCGATAGCCTCGTGACATCGCATAATAAATTAATCGCGTACTCCGTCGATCAAAGACTGCCCTTTGTAATGCTAATTACTTTTCGATTAAATTCTCTCGAGTTTCAAACTTGGCTCGATTAATTTTCGATTAATTTTTGATTCGATTTTGGAAAAAGAAAATTTCGAACAAATTGCCCGAAAAAATCCATTTGCCTTTTGCAATAAAAACGGCTTTTCTTTTTCGCCTGTCTTATTCGAATATTTGACGATCTGGCAATCGAAATAGGAAACAAAAATGCTCGTATTCGTTTCGATAAGTTAAATAATTCCCTTTGAAAAATTCTTCTTTCATTCTATGACTATTTTAACGATAAATGTACGAACGATGCGTAACTTTATTCGTATCGTTATTTAATATAGTTGAATCGTTTATTCTTTCATCGAATCGCAAAGAATCGTACTACTTTCGATCGATCGATCGTTAACCGAGATGATAGTTCACGAGAAGTTTTCGAACATGGCTTGGACGCCATGTTTGCATCAGGGGGCGAAAAAGGTCGGGCTTCGAGATATCGCTCCTCTTCCGGCACACGATGTGACTCACAAACTTGTTTCCCCTCTATCACGAGCCGAACATTTTATCTACCGATCCTTGTTACGGCATTAGTAGACCAAAAGAATGACTCGCGTTACCGGTTCTAGTTATTATCCTCCGATTTATCGTTTCGATCCTTCGACGAAGCGAAGAGATTTGCAGATTTTTAATAAGGAATTTTTTTTGAGGATTTTTTGAGGATTTTTTGAGCGTAGCGATAGGGAAAGAATAATTTTTATCTTGTAAAAAAATAATAGGTAAATAGAAAAATAATTCGATGTTACATTACTTGAAATTTTTCAAGTGGTAGTCGGCAAATCGTAAAGTTCAGCAGTTCGGTAGACCACTAAAAACGGTGATTTAGAGCTGTTGAAACGAAATTTTCAGTATCAGCGTTTTCTCGGCTCGCTAACGGCGATTTAGGATCCTTGAAACCTTGATTTTCGAAGGATCAGCGATTCCTTTAAGTATATAAAGTATATCCTGCGACATAATTGATCTAACAATATTATTTATCATTTCTCCTAACTTCCTCTTAAATTTGCCTGGAATCATATTGCGACTATTGTAACTCGTCTTACCTTTAACAATTTCTTTCTCCTTGCCTCGAAAAACCTTTATTAAAAATCCTTCGAATTAAAAAAAAAATAAAATTCGCGTCGAGTTTCTTGAATCGATAGATTATTTCTTTTTTTAGCTAATCTGGAAATGAAAATGGCTTCGTATCGTCGCCTATTATTTTCTCGTGAGCTGACACACACGCGGAACAGACCTAATCGTATCCGTTTCCTGTGAGTTTCGAGCGAGCCACGTCCATTTGACGATAAACAAACAGAAATCGTTGCTCTCGAAATAATCTTTGCCGCGGAGGCGCGATTCCCTCCCCTCCTCCTCCTCCTCCTCCTCCACCACCACCAATTTTTTTTCCACCACCGATCCGTATATTTTCCTATTAAACAAACTGCACTTGGAATTTCTTTCCAAGCCAAGCCCGATCACTCGGAAACTTTCACGCTTTACATTAAATTGTACGCGTGTGCCCGCGTGTGTCCGTTTAACAAATTATGTAACGCCTCGTTTCGTACGAAACGAGTTCAAACGCGTGGAAAATACGGATGGAAATACGTAATAATACGCAAATTCGTAAATATTCGAAATTATTTTCATATCGGCAACGAACGAACATGTAATATCTCTAATTTTATTTATAATTTTATTTATTCGTTGCTCTTTTTTTTTTACGAAAATCACGCGAAAGAGAGGATATGGATATAAGTTTTAAAAAAGATAGATATTCGATCGGGTGTAAAATTTTCATTTCGAGAAATATCGATGGATATTTTTTGGGATTAGCATAATAAAGATAATTGCTTTTACGTTGTTTCGAGCGAAAGTTTACGCAAGTCGAACGGAATTCTTTTGCCACGATCGATCACTGGAAAAATCCGAGTGCCGATTTATACAATTATTTTCGATAGAGGAGGAGTTTGATCGGTTTATCTCCGGTCCGCGGAATCACGCTTAATTCAAATAAAGGGGATAAAAGAGAACAAAGATGACTCGTAATGAAGCTCGACACTCGCCAATTAGCGAGGATCGTTTTTTAATTTAATTACTTTCGAATGCGCGGCGCGTAACCGTATTACGCGATCATCGACCGGCTTTTATACCTTTCCTCGATCGGACCGGGTCTCGATCGAGTTTCGCATTTTATTTATCCTCTGCGTGGAGCTCGGACTAGATTACCTTTCTTTTCGAATATTAAAATTTAGAGAGAGACGCGGAAAAATTTATCGATTTAAATTTATTGAAATTTATCAAATTATCGAAGATGTTAATCGAAAAAAGTAATTTCATCGCGGTTCCATTACGCAATATGTATTAGCCGTGATTCGAAGATATTATTTCATCGGTGGAATTTACGTAACGATAAAATGGCATTGCGTAATAAAACATTCGGGCCGATGTATAATTAGCCGTAGACAATGGTGGAATTAATGATAGCATTGCCTCGTTTTATTAATTAACCAGCAATTCTTTTCCACCGATGCGCGATTAAAAACGATTGATAACGTTTGATACCTTTCGAGAACTATTTTTTCAAAGATATATCGCAGAAAATAGGGAGCAATATCCGTGATATCGAAAAAGTACAATTCCTTAATGCTAGTTTTTCTCCCTCTCGTAACGAGAATCTCGAGAGAATTTTATTCTTCTTACTTTCGACTCCTCTTCTTATTCTCCACTCGCTCGAGCGGCTCGAGCCACGGCAAACCTCGTTTATTAATAAACATCCGAAGCTCGATTTGCTCCTTTTTTTAATGAGCACGTTACCACCGTGTCCGTGAGAGTGTACGAAACGTACACTCGGTATATTTTAACTGCATGATTCAGCGGCCAGCGAAACGCGAGTCCTCTCCCTATCTCTCTTTCGACCACTATCTTTCTCCTGTATTTTTCATGCTCCACGCAGCCTGCCCGCTCCAACAATCTCGCGGCAAGGTGACGCGAGAAAACTTGCCTCCTCCTCCTCCTCCTCCTCGAAATTTTGCACCGGCGCTTCCTCTTTCAACTACGCTCCATTTTGAGAAGAAGTGCTCGCTATATATATTCTTTCCTAACGAAAATTCTCCCTTATATCTTATACTCGTATCTCCCTATAATTTTACGATTGTATCTAATAAATAAAACGTGTCTATGTACTCCATTCTCTCGTGAGAGAGAAATTATTATAAAACGAGGGGACGAAATTATTTCGTGTCTTTATCATTATCACCGTCATCGTTATTCCCACGTTATATTATATTCTACGTATATTCTCGTTTAGGAGAATTTGCGGGAGTTAAGAATCACGAAATAACAAATTATTAGCGTTCACGTTCGAGTAGGCCGTAGAGAAAGTGTAGAGACTTTAAGGGCAGCGTTGTCAGCGCCGCTGCCTGCACTGCAGGCAAATACTTTGGTGGTGGTGGTGGTGGTGGTGGTGATGATGAAGAGGAGGTTGATGGCGATGATGATGTGCATGTGAATACCGCGGCCAGTGGTGCCGGGCTCTTTCTCCGTGGTCGTCGTCTTCTTCCGCAGCATCTCGTTCAATTTCTCCGGATCGAGAGACGATTCGCGCCATTTTTTTCCTTTTCTTTTCTTTTCTTTATTTCTTTCCTCCAGTGATTTTCGTTATTACGTATTGCTATCGTGACTTGTGAACGAAAGAAACGAACGTGTATGTATATGTATTTGTACGATTGTAAACTCTTTGTTCGTTCGAATATTCATTTGGAAAATGAATTTAATGAATTTAATAATTTATTACATTGCGTTGGAAGAGAACTATGCTGTAACAATCGGAAAGAAGAAGAATTTATCGAAATTTATCGATGACACAATGAAAAACAAAAAGGAACGTTTCAATCTTCGAGATCTCTGAATTTGTAATTTGTAATCCACACGTTGTTAAAAAGAGGAACGAAAAAATAAAAGGAATCGATCGTTTCGACAATTTTCACCTCGTTTCGATTACAATCTCACGCGAGAGATTGTTCGTTGTCGTCTCTCGCTCTTCTAATAAAAAAGAAAAAGAAAAAAAAAAAAACTCGATTCACGACGAAACGAATTTCGCGGAGAAAGGAGAAGAGACTTGTTTTTTTTACAAAAAATCGATCCGCTTCCGCGTCGCGAAAAAATAAACGACGAGAAGTTGAATTAAAGAAGGGAGAAAAGAAAGGAGAAACGATTTTGAATTTTGAATCGTGATCGTGTTTACGTTGTAAAGAGCGGGCCACCTGAGCGTTTCGAGGGCAAGGACTGAGGTTCAGTGTCTCGGTGACCGTGCTTCGACTAAGTCGACGACCACGTCTCGGCCTCGCCACCGCGTCTTTCCCTTAAAACCGTCCCGTCTTTTCTAATCTTTCTTCTCTCGTTTTCTCTTCTCCCTTCTCCCTCCTTCCTTTTCTTTTCCCCATCTATCTTCTGCGCCGACGCGTGTCTTCGTGTTCCGCTCGTTGCAGATTTTTTTTTCGAGAAGCTGTTACGCGGTTCAAGTGGTCGGTATTGGTGCGTGACACGTGTCGGGTAAGTGGAGCATATTCTTTTTCTTCGTTTCGTAAATTTAATTTCGAGTAATAATGGAGAAATATTGGATGGAAATATTAGAAAATAAAGAAGGAGAAATATCGCGATATTGTACGGTTTGTTGTATAACAAATTTCTACTTCGATTCCGTTTTATTTATATTTGTTTACAAACACTTGAATTTGCGCGATATCCTCAATTTAAATATTAAATATATATGTGAATAATTAAAAATTTTATTTTTATTTGTCACTTTATATTCGATAATATGTATTATATTTACGTAAGAATACAATTTGCGACGATAGTTAGCGCGCGATCGGGCTTGTAAACAAAACTTGGTTATCTACGAGGAACGACAACGTAGGCGATCGTGTGCGAAATGATACGATATTTCGATGCGTAAACATCGAATATTCGTAAAACGAGATATTATCTGAAATTCTCACGGAAAAACAATTAAAATTCATCGCTCAATTTTCCCCCTTGACAAGGCCCACAACGATCATTTTCTCGTTACATACACACGTGGATAAAATATTCGACGATGATTATTCGTTCGACTATTCGTGTGCCTTCGAGATGTCTTTTCTCTTTTCTTTCTTTTCATTTTCTCAACCGTGGTAAGCACGATCGATTCAACACAGGAACCACGCTCGATGCGTACACGGAATGCCTTGGTTTCGTTCCGTCTCGAAAAAGAGACGAGCATCCACTCGGTTTTCGAGCATTTTTGAATTCGTGACTCGTATCCTTTAGATTATTTACAACACGGCCAGGCATATCGTTTCTCCTCGGTTTGAGTTTTTCCACCGTCAATTACGTTGATTGCACGCGTGCCACGAATCGCAGCATCGGAACACGAAACGGGGATCGATTTGACGATGGATAAACAAGAAAGCTTCTCGAAACTTGATGTTTGAAACGGGTTAGAGGAAAATTTCTTCCTTTTTTTCCCTCTTTTGTCTACGCGATTGGGAATTTTTTTTTCGAATTCTTTTTTTTTCTTCTTTTTGAATCACCCAGTGTATAAACATATAATGAAAAGGGAGCGCGTGTTTCAAATGTGTATTCAGGCTTGTTGCTCGCTAACTTATCGTTTCACACACCAACACTCGTCTGCCTACTTAGCTTCATCTGTCTCTTAGCCTCTCTTAACTGCTTCCCCTTTCGCCTGCCACGATAAAGAAACCGCATTGCTTCAATTTAGTTGTTGCACGGTTACGTCTCGTTTCGTTAACAGTCGTTTACATCAACGTGTACGATTCGTTATCGAGTTAGTCCTTCGAAACGATCCAATCGGTTTCCCGTGTATTTTATTTATAAAATACGTGTATAAATAAATAACTTATCTCTCTCTCCCTCTCTGTCTCTGTGTCTGTCTGTCTGTCTCTCTCTTTCTCTCTCTCTCAGTGTGAATTAATTTCGAAAATTATATTTTCTCGAGCTGATGAATATTTTATTCGACACAGAAAATCGAAACGTCTCACTTTCCCTATTTTTCTTTTTTTTTTTTTAAGAATGACATTTGTATAAAATTTTCACGTGGAAGATGTTGAAGAATATTGGAAGAAAATTGAAAGAAATTGGATGATCCGGCAAAGATTTCTTCAAGTTTCTTTTTCCAACGAGTGAAGAAGAAGAAGAAGAAGAAGGGAAGACGCGTGTCAAGGTTCGTCTCTATGGAGGGACATACGGGTGTATGCGGGTTGAACCAATTTACGCTAATTCATACCTCGATTGTCCTTCGTCTCATATCATTCCTTTCTCTCAAAGGAACCCGAGAAATATTCAAAATGGAGGAATAATTTTTGATTTCCTCCCTTCATCCGTTCTCTTTTTCTCAAAAATAATTTCAAAATTATTGAAAGAAGATCTTAAGAGAAAAAATTTCCTTCCGAACGATCTTCCATAAACGTGATTTTTTGACGATAAATGCATTTTGCGAGTCGAGTCGACGAAGGAACGAGATTCTAATAACTTTGGACAACAATTGGATAAATCTCGTTCGTCTTCGCTTCTAAGCGAATTTCGTGATGCCACTCGTTGTGACGGCTCGTATTTTTTTCCCCCTTTCTATTTTCTATTAAACTAGCGACACGATCAAGAAACTCGTACAGTGACGCGTATCGCGAGTTTTATCCAAGTTTCTCCTCGAGAGGGGAGGAATATAACGTTTCCATTTTTACTCGATCGTTCCAACGGAGGCATCGTATTTTCGATACGCGAGTGTACTTTTTCAAGCCTTGACAGCGATGTTCCGGGCAAAATTTTCAGCAAAGTTTCCTTCTCGATAAAAATTTGCTAAATCAAATCGAGATTAGATCCCTTTTCTCTTCTCACTCGATACGAGGGAAGAAATTTTTAAGCTTTTAAAAGTATCGATCTCATGTGTCATCTCGTTGGAAAGAAATGATTCCAAATTTAATTGGACGAAGGAATTAAAACTGATCAAAGAAACGAGNNNGGAATCGAGTGAAACGTCGAAAAATCAATTGCACCACCCTCGTTC